TGGGGGTGGTGGTGGGGGTGGGTGGTGGGGGGTTGGGGGGTGGAGCCTCATTTCATTAATTTCACTCCAAAAGTATACGTTGTCACAGTACGACTACAACCCTAATTTAATGGTTATAAGAATGGTATAACGAAGTTTGGAGATAGCTCGGTTGAGTAACTAGCAGAGTCAGTACTTAAACATTGTTTATAAGCATTCTTGTGAAATTTCGAAATCCAATACAAACGAGAAAGGTCTGTATCCTTATCATAAATGGTTATTCGAAAAAACTGTAATACAGAAACGTGAATAGCTACTATTTTGTTTTACGAAAAAAATGAAATGCATAGACAGTGTTTCCTTGCTTAATTAACTCTTTATACAAGAAGGGAATGTGATAGTATTTGTAGACCGGTTAAGTTATTGGTTGCTTTCTCTGTCTTTGCAGGTATAACTATATATTTATCAAACAAAGAAAAAAGATTAAGGTATTACATTACTTAACAATAATTTCTAACATTGGAGTATTACATTTTCTGTCAGATATTCTGTATGAAAGCAGTCCCCTATTCTGTATGAAAGCTGTCGCCTATTCTGTATGTGAACTTCCACCTATTCTTTATGAAAGCTGTCTCCTATTCTGTATGAAATCTGTCACCAATTCTATAAAAAGGCTGTCACCTTTACTATATGAAAGCTGTCGCCAATTCTGTATGTGAACTTTCGTCTAATTTATATGAAAGCTGTCTCCTATTCTGTATGAAACCTGTCATCTATTCTGTATGAAAGCTTTTTCCTATTTTGTATGAAAGCTGTTGTCTATTTTGTATGAAAGCACTATTCCGTTTCAAAGCTGTCTCCTATTCTGTATGCAAACTTTTACCTATTATGGATGATAGCTGTCTCCTATTCTGTGTGTTAACTTTCACCTAGTCTCTATGAAACCTGTCTCCTGTTTTGTATGAAAGCTGTCATCTATTCTGTATGAAAGCTGTCTCCTTTTCTGTATGAAAGCTGTCTCCTTTTCTGCATGTTGACTTTCACCTATTCTGTATGAAAGCTGTGTCCTATTCTAAATGAAAGCTGTCCCCTTTTCTGTATGAAAGATGTCATCTATTTTGTATGAAAGCTGTCATCTATTTTGTATGAAAGCTGTCACCTATTCTGTATGAAAGCTGTGTCCTATTCTAAATGAAAGCTGTCCCCTTTTCTGTATGAAAGATGTCATCTATTTTGTATGAAAGCTGTCATCTATTTTGTATGAAAGCTGTCACCTATTCTGTATGAAAGCTGTGTCCTATTCTAAATGAAAGCTGTCCCCTTTTCTGTATGAAAGATGTCATCTATTTTGTATGAAAGCTGTCATCTATTTTGTATGAAAGCTGTCACCTATTCTGTATGAAAGCTGTGTCCTATTCTAAATGAAAGCTGTCCCCTTTTCTGTATGAAAGATGTCATCTATTTTGTATGAAAGCTGTCATCTATTTTGTATGAAAGCTGTCACCTATTCTGTATGAAAGCTGTCCCCTTTTCTGTATGAAAGATGTCATCTATTTTGTATGAAAGCTGTCACCTATTCTGTATGAAAGCTGTCCCCTTTTCTGTATGACAGATGCCATCTATTTTGTATGAAAGCTGTCACGTATTCTGTATGAAAGCTGTCACTTTTTCTTTGTGAAAGTTTTCATCTATTTTGTACGACGACGGAGTTATTTATGATATGTAAATATAAACCCATTATAGAAATGCTTTAGGATAAACCAGCATTAGCTTTTGAGTTTAATTACAGCGTACCGCATATTGCATATAAGCTTCATATGACTCAAGTTTACATATAAACGCCGTGGGACTAACATTTAGCTGTCGATCTTACCCGATAATTTGTACCCACCCAGCACCAGATGCCCATTCCTAATGTGTACAATAAGTACCTTTCAGTCCACTCAAAGTACAAACAGGAATGTTTACCCTGCCCAAAAGGCCAATACAAGGGGCCAGTAATTCCATCGATATAGATTCCCATAACGAAATTTCGTCTTATTGAAATAAGTCTCTAAATCTGATGATATTACACTAAAGCCTAATATATGCGGCGAGTCATATACTCTATCTCTCTAACGGGGAATTCTATTTAAATGGTTTGATTACGGTATGGTAATAGGCCTGTATGGGGCGTGTGGATTATCTGATTTGACCCCATGTGCCTCAGTCAGTAAGACTGGTATTATTGAGCGATCAGTCCCGGCGCGCCAGGGTTTGTTTGTCTCAGTTACCGCTCTACACTACGTATAAGGTACCTCTACTACCCACCGCGTGCTTCAAATCACGACTGTTTAGGTGTGCAGTGTTACCGGGGAATAAACCGTACGGATTATTCATGGAAATTCTGACAGACAGGTAAAGGAGAGTGGACTCACCCCGCGGGATGAATTTGACAGGAGGAGAGGGGGAGGTGGTGGAGGAGGGGCAGGGCCACCAGCCCCCCACCCTGGACCCGGCACTGGAGGCCCAGGTAAGACATGTTGTTTACCAGTGCTAGGGAACCACTGACCGGAACCCTTTCAGTTCCGGGTCAAACTAGTGAAAAAACTTTAAATTTCTCAATCTTCTAGCGGTTTTTATTCTGTAAATTTACGACAGTTTGACTATAAAATTTAAATTAATCATAGTGTGTGTATATGTTACCTGGTGTGTTGTAATAAAACGATATAGACTTGTTTAGTCATGCTCATTGGTGTTAATACCTTGTTGTTTATGCTAGATGGGCTGTAATACTGAACTGGGGTCAGTCGCCTTTTAATCCTCTGTGTGCCCGAGAGATTTCTGGATCATCGAAAAGGACGCTAATGCTATTTAATATCAGGATTTAAAACGCATTGTTTCGTATAAGTCTATTTCTTGAATGAAACAACATTTAAATTCGCCTGATCGTTCCTATTACAACATAGGATCGCTCGTTAACAGATATAATGAAGGAGGGGACTTAATCGGTCGGAAATACAACCTTTGGCCTATTCGTTTGTACAATAAAACAAACAAAACATGTCTAAACTAAAATAACGTCATATCTTGATAACTTTGTATTGCTATTAATTAATGTTATTACTTGTGCTGAACTGTTTATATCAGTCCAATGTAAAAACATCACACAGCTGTTCTATCAGAACTTTAATTCTTACATATATATTCATATATCAAATTGTTATGTAAATGTTGAATAAGAATAAAATAGAACATGATATTCAGTTTGAACGGTTGTAAAAGTCTGTGTTCCTGAACGACTTATGTACAATGATATGTGTCATACACACTGGCACTAAATCAAGCTATCATATTACGGTGTGACCGACTCAGATTTCCTCTATCGCCGACATACAGGCGACCAGGACACATTTCCTCTATCGCCGACATACAGGCGGCCAGGACACATTTCATTTATTACTGACATACAGGCGACCAGGACACATTTTCTCTATCGCTGACATACAGGCGACCAGGACACATTTTCTCTATCGCCGACATACAGGCGACCAGGACACATTTCCTCTATCGCCGACATACAGGCGACCAGGACACATTTCCTCTATCGCCGACATACAGGCGACCAGGACACATTTCCTCTATCGCAGACATACAGGCGACCAGGTCAGATTTCCTCTATCGCCGACATACAGGCGACCAGGACACATTTCCTCTATCGCCGACATACAGGCGGCCAGGACACATTTCATTTATTACTGACATACAGGCGACCAGGACACATTTTCTCTATCGCTGACATACAGGCGACCAGGACACATTTCCTCTATCGCCGACATACAGGCGACCAGGACACATTTCCTCTATCGCCGACATACAGGCGACCAGGACATATTTCCTCTATCGCCGACATACAGGCGACCAGGACACATTTCCTCTATCGCCGACATACAGGCGACCAGGTCAGATTTCCTCTATCGCCGACATACAGGCGACCAGGACACATTTCCTCTATCGCCGACATACAGGCGGCCAGGACACATTTCATTTATTACTGACATACAGGCGACCAGGACACATTTTCTCTATCGCCGACATACAGGCGACCAGGACACATTTCCTCTATCGCCGACATACAGGCGACCAGGCCATATTTCCTCTATCGCCGACATACAGGCGACCAGGACGCATTTCCTCTATTGCCGACATACAGGCGACCAGGACACATTTCCTCTGTCACCGACATACAGGCGACCTGGACACATTTCATCTATTACTGACATACACGCGACCAGGACACATTTTCTCTATCGCCGACATACAGGCGACCAGGACACATTTCCTCTATTGCCGACATACAAGCAACCAGGACACATTTCCTCTATCGCCGACGTACAGGCGAGTAGGACACATTTTCTCTATCGCCGACATACAGGCGACCAGGACACATTTCCTCTATTGTCGACATACAGGCGACCAGGACACATTTCCTCTATGGCCGACATACAGGCGACCAGGACACATTTCCTCTATTGCCGACGTACAGGCGACCAGGACACATTTCCTCTATCGCCGACATACAGGCGGCCAGGACACATTTCATTTATTACTGACATACAGGCGACCAGGACACATTTCCTCTATTGCCGACGTACAGGCGACCAGGACACATTTCCTCTATCGCCGACATACAGGCGGCCAGGACACATTTCATTTATTACTGACATACAGCTAGGCGACCAGGACACATTTCCTCTATCGCCGACGGACAGGCGAGTAGGACACATTTCCTCTATTGCCGGCATACAGGCGACCAGGACACATTTCCTCTATCGCCGACATACAGACGACCAGGACACATTTTCTCTATCGCCGACATACAGGCGGCCAGGACACATTTCATTTATTACTGACATACAGCTAGGCGACCAGGACACATTTCCTCTATCGCCGACATACAGGCGGCCAGGACACATTTCATTTATTACTGACATACAGCTAGGCGACCAGGACACATTTCCTCTATCGCCGACGTACAGGCGAGTAGGACACATTTTCTCTATCGCCGACATACAGGCGACTAGGACACACATACTTCTCAGAAACGTCTTAAGGTTCAACAAGCCACCTAAAAGATGTAATTGTCACCCTAAATTTCAACTCCCTGGCAAGTCATATTCAAATACCCTTATCAAAAATCGGAATATATTTATATGTAATTTAAATATATTGTACATGACCAGGTTAACGAAGTCACAAAACGGCATTAAGGCTGATGTAATTATAAAAGTTGCTCACCAGATGTAGAACATGTAAATCTCTTAAGCGACCCAACTGAATGTTACGAAATGCCATGTTATTTGAAAATCATTTATAAACCTAGGTTATGCGGGGCTTTATTTCTCTTTAACTATGTGTGGAGAGGTATACCGGCCTCACAAGAAGATGATTGTTGCTATGGGAAAGTACAAAAATCATAGTAAAACGTCCGCGTAACATATTTTACCGGTATGTAGGTGTAAAACCTTAGAACTTTGACTATAAACACTACTTAAACTTCATATAAAATGTCCATTCTTAACATTCAATGATTTTATAAAATAGTTAGACTTGTTATAAACATTATTGTACTTCTCTGCTTCAATGTTTATAACATCTCTAGCGCATTCATATAATCACAGAATGTTATCAATTGGCACATCATCTAAAGTTCATTTATCGATCATAATGTTTAGCCTTTTTCTTATTTATTAATTGCTAAAATGTATTAACAGTGGATTTTACAATGATTTTAGTGGTTTCGCATGGCAACATCTATCTTTATTTGAAGTCGGAATTCCTCTCAACAGCTAGTAGAAGAGAAATAAAGCTCCGCCTGACCTAGGTATATACATAAACTTTAAATTATGGGTCATTTCTCACCACTCAGTTGGATTACAAAAGAGATTGACATGTTATAAGTCCAGTGAGCTATTTTTATGAAAACATCAGCCTCAACACCTTATTTTTGACTACGATAACCTGGCTATGTATTTTTGTATAGCCAATGTTCAAGTTCAATATATACAAATAACATATATAAGTTCCAATTTTTAATTGAGGTCTTTGAACATGACTTATCAGGGGGTTGACATTTTAGGGGACTACAGCATCTTTTAGGGAGCTTGTTGAACCTTAACGCGTTTGTGTTAATGACTAAAATCCATTATTTCAGTAAAAGACATTATTGTTAACATCAAATGGAATTATTGATATTGTAAGGTAAAATTATCAATAAGTGTATTGCTTCACAAACGTCCCCTGATAACAACACCTATTTATCTTTATATGAGTATATCGATTGTGACAGGAGCATATTGATGTACACAATACACGCACGTGCTGTTTATTTTAGGGACATTTGATATAGGGCATATTTTCAGTGGTCATAGTTGTGCTTGCAATTCGGACCTGGTTATAAATAATGAACTATTTAAAAAAACAAATCTAACCTCATTTCAGTATCAGTTCCTTTGCCATAATTTGATATCGGGTGTAATTCTAGATCGGTAGTATTTGGCACGGGTATGATTGGTCACAGACAGGGGTGATCGTAATGTCTAGGTTAGCGCACGCCACTAACACCACTCCCAACTCTGACATCGGGACCCGGGAGACTCCAACATGACACATCGTAACATATTCTATGTATTCTGACAATGTCATGTCTCCTACAAATCTTCTCATGTTCCGAACAGAAGACAGGAACACGTCTATCATGTAATCAATAGCCTACCGGTATTGATAAACAACGTAATATTATATATCTGTTGCAGTACTCATTTACCTGACCGCCTTATGTACTAGTGTTTTTCGCAAGTCAGGTGTTAGTCAATTACGATTGGTGTGTTATTTAATTAAACATAGGAACATCAATGTCTACTGACACGTCCGTTCAGTATAATAAATTAGTTATAAAATGGTCTGTAGTACATTACTGGGCTCAGCTTACCCTGACCGACATGTAGGAGTATGTTTACCCTGGCCGACATGTAGGGTTATGTTGTTCAGCTTACCCAGACCGACATGTAGGGTTATGTTGTTTAGCTTACCCTGGTCGACATGTAGGATTATGTTGTTCAGCTTACCCAGACCGACATGTAGGGTTGTGTTGTTTAGCTTACCCTGGCCGACATGTAGGGTTATGTTGTTTAGCTTACCCTGGCCGACATGTAGGATTATATTGTTCAGCTTACCCAGACTGACATGTAGGGGGTGTTTTTAGCTTACCTTGGCCGACATGTAAGGGTATGTTTTTCAGCTTACCCTGATTGTAGGGGTATGTTGTTTAGCTTACTCTGACCGACACGAAGGGGTATGTTGGTCAGCTTACCCAGTCCGACATATAGGGTTATGTTGTTAAGCTTACCCTGGCCGACATGTAGGGTTATGTTGTTCAGCCTACCCTGACTGACATATAGGGGTATGTTGTTTAGCTTACTCTGGCCGACATGTATGGTTATGTTGTTTAGCTTACCCAGACCGACATGTAGG